GCGCGTTAATCTAATTAATATTGGAGATTTTTATTTAAGAAGTATAAATGCAATTTACTTCTAATTTAAGAAATATATTAATTTAAGTCTCGGTAAACAAACGGGCGTTCTTCTGGGCAATCAATTATCCTTTTTGTCTTGTCGGGAAACGCGATGCTTAAATGAAGATTTCCGTAGGGTACCGCTTGGTTCCGCTGGGACGTTCTCATATGTTGCACTAATTGGTACACTAATTAGAAAGCTGTCGCGATGTAAAATATGTAAATAGTCGTCGCCACTTATAATTGAAAATTAAATACTCGAATTTCCTGGCGAGTCCTAAATAGCATTTTCGAATTTCCCCATCGGGGATTTAAAATTAAATTATCGGTCGATGTGCGCGCGCGCGCGCGTGTGTGTGAATATCACGGACAATTATATTCATTACAATTTATCGTCGGCAATTTCATTCTTTTTTATATACTACTGCCGAAAAGGTCTCGGATCTGCTCGGCGAAGGGCCACGCTAATTCCGCCGGACAGTGCGCTGACGCGCGTCATTGAGCATCAGTATTTCAAGATAGATACGGTAGTTCCCGACCTTTTTTTTCCTTATCTCTCCTCGAACGGACACCCACGAGGACCCGTGTGTTTCTGTGCGAAAGCGATCTTCTCTGTATAGGATGCGACAGCACGGCGCCAGACGCGCGTACACAATCAGCCAGCCAGCCAGGTTCCGCCGCTCGATTCCTGCTGGTCGCTTCGAGGAACGAGTGCAAGCACACTCAGTCCTCGACTCACGTAAGGCTCGACGTACGTGATATCGCGGTCGCGACGAACAGGGTGCAAGGGGATGCGCATTCGCGGTTCTGCGGCTCCTTCGGACGGAAAAAGGAGAGAGAAGAAACAAGCTCGATGGGAGGCACCGTTTTATAACGCGAGATATTTCATTTGGACCTTGTGATCTTTTTGCGCGTGCGACATCCTTTCGAGATAAGTTAATAATAGCAGTCAATATAAAAAGAAATAGATATCGATAAAATATAGTTACATAATAAAAAACATTTTGTACTTGCGTTGTTAATATCGGTACTTGCTAACATTTTTAACATATCCGTGTGTTAATTTAACATATTGTGTTTTATGTTATTTCTCAATATTTAGCGTCGATATTCAACATGTGTAAATGTTGAAATAATATATTTTATACTCCAGTGCCGATAAACACAATTTTGTGTTAATTTTTTACATAATATCTGTGTTGTTTTTCAAGATACCTATTTTGTATTAAATTAACACAAATTGGGTGGACCATTTAGAACATGTGTGAAATATGTTACATCTAATATAACATTTTTTATCGTGTAGAATATCAAAAATACTATATAATTCTGAAGTAAGATTCTCTTTAAAATTCAACGTGGTAGAAACGCCAGTTCTTGATAATAATTTGATATCTGGAGATTCTCCATTGGCTCTTCAAGAGTTTGACAGAATTTACAGGGTTTGTGTAAAACGAAAATCTCGCTTCATGCATAACGACGTTATTATACTTTGAGTGGAAGTGCGAGTAACTAAATTCTTCCTGCGCACTTGGTTCTTTGCGGAAAATTGATTTACATAGGTGAGATGTCTCCGCAATCGTTTCGGCGAATGTTAAATTATTGTAAAGTACGGAGGGTTCGGCCGCGCCAGGCCGATAATTTTTCCATGGGCGAGGCAAGTGCGAGAAAGTTTTCATGAAACTTTCTGGGTCCACCCCGGCCGAGTTTCCGCGAACACGAACGTGCACGGGAGTTTTGCGGAATTTCCGCGTTAATAGAGAACTACCTGTGTGTCCGCCACTTAGAGGCGGACGGTACGTAGATGGGAGCGAGATCAACGAGCGCGCGGGCAGATGCGGACTCCTTTTCCTCTTCGGCCCTAAATAGGGCAAAACCTAGCCGAGGCCTGTGAGGACCGAGGCGCAGAATGACGGTAAACCTACTCGTCTCTATTACGACTTGATGTACACTTGGTAAAGTATATACACGCGGCGGCATGTACGTATTCGCGGTAGCGCAGATAGATAGCGGCGAGTATCGCGAAACAGTATCTCGAAGAAACTCGCCCGCTCGACTAGCAGAAACAGAATGACGGTTGCATCTCGTTGACCGCAATTCGACATCCTGGTGCGACGAAAATTTTCGCCGGCTCTTATGAACGCACGAGGAAAAATACGTTATTTTGAGGGAGAATCCGCGTGACACACAAACTCGTTCGACCGAAACTCTTCCGAGAGTGCCTTGACACTCTTTCGGAATTATAAATCGAATATTTATATCTACGATAAAATTACTTATCGATCCGTCGAATGTTAACATTATATGCTCTCCTTTTAACTCTTGATATACCATCAGAGCACGTTGAATCTAATTTGAACTTGCGAATTTCAATTTATCATCATTTTAAATATTTGTAACGTCTGATACTCTCTCTTCATGCCTTTCTCGCCTATATCCTTCCTACAAATCTTTGAAAAATTAAAGAGAAAATGTACTTGTTTCAGTTTCAATAGAATAAAGTAATCTTTTGCTTCAATTAATATCAATAATGGGATATGTATTAATAAATTTCTGTAATAACAGTAATAATTTCTTTAATAATATACAGTTTCCTCAATAATATAAGAAAATAGAAAAATTTTTTAAATAAGATAAATTTTAATTAATGTTATGGTATACCAACGATTAAACGTTTAACATTTATAATATCTTTCGTCATCCTATATGCATACATAGTACTGTTATGTAAAATGCATCCCGTGTAAAATGCACGACTACAGGTCCATATATGATAGGAAACATTCACCTATAACATCTCAGATGAACGTACCTAAGACCTGCCAATCTGCCAACAACATAAACTTCTCAGGCCAACTTCTCAAATAACTCTCCGGTTTTCCTGTATCACGATTTTCGAGGACTCATCAGTTTCAGCTGTAGTTTCTGCTTTGCCTGCGAATGAAATGAATGCGATAAGTCATGTTGCATATAAAAGGTTGAGTCTCCAAAATACCAGTTTTATGGTACAATTTTATTATATACCATTTTATCATGTATCGTGTGTTAAAATCACACTAATCTTTTCGCTAACCTATATTCCAATGTTCGATGTTCGCGATACTTAAAATCGCGGCGAATTTCTATCGACAAACAAAATTCGAAAACTTGCTTAATGTTAACTCACTGTTCACATAACGAATAAATGAGAAGAAAGTCCAGCATTTCCGCCATATTGTATCTACATTCTTAACTCCTTTCGTCTCGAAATTTTCCGTGCTCTATTGAGACGGAATCGTGAAAAGACAATTGCCTATTTCATAAAATTTGTAAAGCGCACGACTATAACTATTCGATCGTACACTTTGTTTCCCGAATAATTAATTGAATCTCGTGGATGCCGGATTATTTTACTCACGACGACAAGGAACATACTTCCGTCCGAAACGGAATATTAACCACTATCTCTTAACGATAGGGTAGGGCAATGCATTAATTAGACAAACGCCGACATATCGCGATGCATTGTTCTTTCTTTCGACGTGCTGATCTTGATTATCGACGTGTTCAGTTTCACTTAGATGGAGGCGCTTCCATCTGAATCCGTCACCCTACATTCTTTTGAAAAACAGTAAAAAAAATACACTTTAGAGTAATATGAAAATTAACAGGCAATCGTAAATCAGGATAGGAACAAGAATATCGGCATAAATATCTCAAAAAGTTGAAAGAACATTGATATCATTAACTTTACACTCTTCTTCAATAAATATACATAAACAATTCGTAAAAGAAAAAGACGGAAGTAAAAGAGCACAGAAGAAATTGGACAATGTTAAAAGTAACCATATTTGCATAATTACATATATATTTTATTCTAATTGTCTGCACATTTGTTCAGATTCTTATTTCTAACAATATAAAATTTCGGTCACAAGAAACAAGAGTTTATTAAATTGTTGTTCGATCACACTATTAAAAAAGAAAACGTTTATCTGACTTGTCGTTGAATACATATTTTATTCGCATACAAAAGAAGTTTCGCTTAACTTGTCGTCGAATTGTGCAAGTTGTAAATGAAAGTCTTCCAATCTGCTACCGAATCGTTTCAGGATAAAAAGTCGTTTGACTATATTACCTTGACTATCTCGCGCCATCTAGCGGTGAAGACATGAAAACCTCCAAAAAAGTTTGTGTCTGGAATAAGTAGGTTTGAATTTCAGCTGAATGATCCGTTATGTTTAGACCCGTAAGATTTATTAATTCCCAAGTCCCAAAGAGAGAATAAAAAAATACCATTAATAAATAAATTTAACAAAGATAAATTAAAAACTTAATGATTTTAAAGTTAATGAAATTTTAGAGCATAAGAAAATAATTGATTCTTAAATAAAAGAATAATAGAATATCAATTTATTGGCCTAAGGCCGGAATTCATAGTTGAATCTTATCTTTAAGACCGTCTTAAGTTTATCTTCAGATGCTCTACGACTCGTTTCATTGGTCATGAAGCATCTGAAGATAAATTTAAGACGGTATTAAATATAAGATCCGACTATGAATACCGACCTAAGTCGCCCATCCTCAGAGCCATCTACAGAAGGAAAGGAAAAGGAAGGAAGGTACCCTCAGAGCTGAGCGAACAGGGTAGCCGAGCATGCGGAGAAAGTGAGGTTAGATTAGGTTAGGTTATATTAGACGTGTACTGTATCCCAAAAGAGATTAACATCTGTAAGAAGCGGAATATAGAAAAATCTTCAACGATGTCAACGGAAGACACGAACGGGACGTCCAAAATCATGAATAAGATCGCGGATATGGAGCTCGAGGAGACGAGCGGCAAGAAGCTGACGCACAAGGAGAAGAAAAAGTTGAAGAAACAGCAGGAATATGAGAGAACGATGGAGATGCTGACGAAGGCAGGTGGTCAGGGTCACAGCGAGCTGGAGACCAACTTCACGGTCTCGCAGAGTCAGACGCAGCAACGTGGCAATCAGCAGCTGGACAACGCGGTCGACATCAAAGTAGATAACTTCAGCATAGCGGCCAAGGGCAAGGAGCTTTTCACCAATGCTAGTCTGCTGATAGCGCAAGGTAGACGCTATGGTCTAGTGGGACCCAATGGGTAAGCTTTTAACCAATGTTGTACTTGTTATAACGAGATATAATATCATGGATATTGTTTAAATAAAAAGGACAATGTATATTTTTCTTATTGAGAATACATAATGTCTAATTTAATTACAGTCATGGCAAAACTACGTTGCTCCGTCATATAGCCAATAGAGCCTTCAATATTCCACCTACTATAGATGTTTTATACTGTGAACAAGAAGTTATAGCTGATGATACTCCTGCTGTGGAAGTAGTACTTAGTGCTGATGTAAAGTGCAGAGAGCTTCAGGCAGAATGTAAAAAGCTGGAGGAACTGATTGAGCAAGGAGACTCTACTGTACAGAATAGATTGCAAGAGGTGACTTTAATTTACTTCTGTAAATACTAGGCGTTTCCTTCTATGTTTTATACTCTAATTTTCCAGATAGAATACTTACTACTATAGTTTCTCTAATGTGAAAAATTTAATATAGTTTATATGTTATATATCTTCAGGTTTACGAAGAGTTGAAAGCCATCGGCGCGGATTCAGCGGAACCGCGAGCCAGGAGAATCTTGGCTGGTTTGGGCTTTAGTCGATCGATGCAGGACCGCGCGACGAAGAACTTCTCCGGTGGTTGGCGAATGCGTGTCTCGCTCGCCAGGGCGCTCTTCCTGGAGCCCACGTTGTTGCTGTTGGACGAACCTACGAATCACCTAGATCTGAACGCAGTGATCTGGCTGGACAATTACCTGCAGGGCTGGAAGAAGACGTTGCTGATCGTGTCGCACGACCAGAGCTTCTTGGATAACGTGTGCACGGACGTAATACATCTGGACCAGCAGAAGCTCTTCTACTACAAGGGGAACTACAGCATGTTCAAGAAAATGTACGAGCAGAAGCGAAAGGAGATGATAAAGGCGTACGAGAAGCAGGAGAAACGGTTGAAGGACCTCAAGGCGGCTGGTCAGAGTAAGAAGCAGGCTGAAAAGAAACAGAAAGAGGTGCTCACCAGGAAGCAGGAAAAGAATCGAACAAAGATGCAGAAGCAAGAGGGGGAGACCGGACCTCAAGAACTGCTGCAGAGACCGAAGGAATACGTGGTGAAGTTCAGCTTCCCGGACCCGCCACCGCTCCAGCCTCCGATTCTCGGTCTTCAAAGTACATACAGCAAACATAAAAGATTCGGGCGTGTTACATCGCTCTTCACTGAACTCCGACTTAACGTTTAACTGTTTCCAGATGTGACTTTTGCGTACGAAGGACAAAAGCCGTTATTCATCTTCGCGGACTTCGGTATAGATCTGAGCTCCCGGATAGCTATAGTAGGTCCCAACGGCGTCGGCAAATCTACGTTCTTGAAATTGTTAATGAGTGACCTGACGCCTCAGAAGGGAGAGGTCACGAAGAATCACCGACTGGTACGTACAAAGCCGTTCGTCAAATAGTCAACGACCTCTTCGCACTACAGATTCCACCCTTTTGGAACCCGGATCTCTTGAGTCCATTCTTATCATCATGATTTCAATCTCATCGAAGATTAACCGAACAGAATTGATCAATCGTATCAGCTAATTGGTCAATTCTGTTGAGTTAATCGTCGTTTAGATTTAAATCATGATAGTGGAACCGGACATTAATCCCGACGATTTCAATTATATCATCGCGAGTTATTATGTGCATGTTGTAGAGGATAGGAAGGTTCGACCAGCACTCGGGCGAACACCTAACCGCGGAGGAGACGCCGACCGAGTACCTCATGCGGCTGTTCGACCTCCCGTACGAGAAAGCTCGCAAGCAGCTGGGCACTTTTGGTCTCAGCTCTCACGCACACACCATCAAGATGAAGGACTTGTCGGGTGGGCAGAAAGCTCGCGTAGCGTTGGCCGAGCTGTGCTTGAATGCACCGGACGTAGTGATCTTGGACGAGCCGACTAACAATTTGGACATCGAGTCTATCGACGCCCTCGCCGACGCCATCAACGACTACAAGGGCGGCGTCATTATCGTCTCCCACGACGAACGGCTGATCCGCGACACCGAGTGTTGCCTCTACGTGATCGAGAACCAGCAAATCAACGCGATCGACGGTGACTTCGACGATTACAGGAAGGAACTTCTGGAGAGCCTGGGCGAGGTTATCAACAACCCCAGCATAGCCGCGAACGCAGCCGTTCTGCAATGATCTTAGACCAATTAGATTGCAATCGACTTCTTCCTCTGTGGCCTGTGACGTTGGAAAGCTAGCTCGTCTTTGCGGGAACGACGAGTTTCTGTGCGTCCGGAAATCATCAGATCCGAATTTTGTATTATAGATATCTCAGCCGTGCTCGTGTGTAAAAATAAATTACGAGACACACAGAGCCGGTAGCGCGAATTGTCTTTGCTGATCTATCTCGCATGTCATGGAATTGGCGATAATCTGACATTGTTCGCTTGATCGCATAGATTTCCTACCCACTAGGATCTCACGAATTTCGGCAGAGTATTACGTTAAAATATATTTCAAAGCAACTATTATTTTATTAATACATTGGAAATAGAAGATGTTCAAATGGCTAAAAATACCAATAAATATGCAATCAACTGTTTTATTAAGTGACTAATTTTTATTATCAGTAACGTAAATCCTCACGATAAAACGTTTCTTCTTTTTTTTTACTATGCCTTTTTTAGAATAGACTTCATATTTGACATATTTTTAAGTTAAATTATTAGTGTTCAAATAAATTTTTGAACGTGTGAAGAAATGAGATGTTGCGAAGAGTGAAAGTAAATCTGGACTACAGGTACACGTTTGAAACTGCCGCCGTGAGCATCATAATGTTGCTTTCTCAGCGCCATAACCAACGCTTATTAGAAGCTTCCAGAAGTTCGCGATAGCCAATATTTTTCGCTGCCCGAGTGTCACGCTACCAGTTGGTTTGTGATATCTGTGGACGAGTTTTGCTGTAGTGTTTTTACGCGAAATAAGATCCTCTATTTTGTGTGATATCTGCCTGTCAGTCATCTAAAAATCAAGAATGTCGACGAAAGCTGAAGAGGTGAGTATCGTGATAATCGTCAATTTATTAACTTTTATCTACACTTCCCAGCACTCTTATTCACATTTGAAATGGGATGGGCTTATGTACATTAGTGTTTTTGGAGGGAAAAGAACGAGGGATGCAAAATACATGGAAAAAATGTAATTCAAACAAACTGACCGGCAGTTTATTTTTCTTTTTTGCAAACTTTGTTAATTGCTATGTTTTAAAATGACTGGCCATTACAGTAATTGCCTCTAACAAAGCTTCTGACAACATTACTAAAAATTTAAATAAATGTTATATCCGACGTTATTCGCTTATCTCACAATCTCACTTTTATTTGTTCAAATTCTCTTCAATGTGCATATTGGTAAAAACAAAAATATGTCATCAGGAACAAAGAGAGGTAGAGGGTAACTAATATTTTCTCCACAGGTAAAACTAGACATCGAGGAGTTCAACAACCTGTTGGAGAAGGCTTGCAGGCAACGAACCAAGGATGTGCTGACGCTGGAGATCAGAAGGCTACAGACAGAATTGGCGAAGTTGCTCGAGGAGAACAAGGACGCATCTGTCAAGCCACCTGCTACAACCCCGAGTGCCACCCAAAAGTGTTACCAAGTAAAGCTGAATAATTACGGATGGGATCAGACAAATACGATGGTGAAGATCTACATCACGCTCAAGGACGTTCACCAGTTGTCCGGGGAGTCGATCGTCTGCAACTTTGCCGACAAGTCCCTAGACCTATGGGTGCTGGCCTTGGACAATCGGAATTACTACTTGCCGATCAACAATCTCTGCGCTGAGATCGACACGGAGAAAAGTAGCCTGAAAGTAAAGACCGACATGATCGTAGTGTCGCTGGTGAAAAAAATTCCTAAGGCCTGGTCGCACGTGACGTGGGTTGAAAAGAGGATCAAGGAGGCAAAGACACTGTCTATGCCAGACATGAACGAGGATAATGATCCCGGCGCCAGCCTGATGAACCTGATGAAGAAGATGTACCAGGACGGCGATGACGACATGAAGAAGACAATAGCTAAAGCGTGGACCAAGAACCAACAAAAAAACGCGGCCGGTCCGATGGACATATAATTTCCCGGAGTAGAGCTTTAGATTTTTATTTCTAAGTATAATGTGCATTTCGTGTTCCTTTTGTACTTGTTAAATATAAAATGTGCGTCGAAGTCGATTCGTGAATAATTACGTGGATAAACCGAAACGCGTACATATAAACGTTCTTAGACAACGGTAATGTTCGCGTGTATTTATTTTTTGGTTGCAAAGCTCCAAACGGGACGGCTGCTGGAAAAAGTTCCTTCGTGCCCCGAACTAGACCGAAAAACGATCGTATTTGCGCGACCAATAACAATCTGTATAAATTCTCATTTTTTATTTGCCGAAGATTCTTCTGTACATTTGTTTCATTTGTCGCAATGTACCGTTGGAGAGATCAGTAATAAAGTATACGGCATACATAACTAAAATTGTAATATCTTTATTACCTGCTCTTGTACATTTCGCAAACTACGTTTTAATTTACATCGCAATTGTTTATTCGTTTCTCCTCTCGCGGTGGTCGATAATGTACAAAACATTTTCTAGTAAACTCAATCGGTTGTAAAATTTCGCCTTTCACAAATAAAGAGAGTTTACGTGACGTTCGATATAACAATTCGTTGAATCTCTCTTATGTGATTTTTCCTCTTTCGTTTTTTTTTTGCTTGTCGGTCAGCGATTGCCGAACGTTCGTTTGATCGGATATGACGGTTAATCGATATTACACAACAATCACAACGAATACACAGCCCGAGTACAAAATTCTTTGGAACGAGCTAGCTTCACCTCTTCCCTTCTGACTCTTCTGTTTCACTCTATGACTAATGCAATCGATACACTTGCATTCAAGAAATTACGAATCTACAATTTTGTTTCTTTCACTCGAAGTAAGACTGGAATGACTTGCTGTACTAGATCGTGTGACCAGCTGCTGCACTTTGCAAATTGGCACTGACATGACAGATCTCCGGAGAATGATGTCGTGTTAGATGAATCTTCGTTTACAGACATACAGATGCGATTTGCGACGAATCACAGATACATCTTTCGCGAAACTAAGCAACACGTGTCGACATCACATTTAGAATGAAACTTATGCTACTCTGCACGACAGACGCTAAAATCATGTAAACCTCCGAGGAAACGAAAGGATCCCCTCGATTATCCCCTTCCGGATTGGAAAACTTTTGCGTATACTTAAGATCTCTATTTATCTCATGCACGAAGTATTACTCGATTACGCTAGAGATTGTATATTAACGCAGCGCCGATACTCGGTTGAAAATTGTGCGTTTTTATTCATCAGGAAGATAACACTAATGTCCTTTGAAGAATAGTTCGAATGGTTACAACGATTGCACCTAGCGTGATCGTGAAGAACTAACGCGTGTGTGATCAGAAAGTCCGATTATCGCTTCTTCGTGGACTATGTACTGCTTCTATTCGAGTTTGTCAGTAATGTATTCCTTACGCGTGTGTGAATAAGTTATCCCGCCGAGATATCTTCCGTCAACAAGTAATAAATACCCGACAGACGCTATGTCAGCTACAGCTGTAGTCGTCGGACTCGACGGTTTCGGTCGCGATAGAAAAATATCCGCGGCAAAGCATATCTCACGATAATAACGATAACACATAATAACGAAGAGAAGTGCATCTTACAAGGTCTAAGGATGGCACTTGACAGTTACGTACATGTTTCCACATATTGAGCCATTTATCCTGAAAGTAACTCTTGTCTCGAAATCGGATCTCGATCTTAAGAATAATCAACGAACTGTTTGTATTTTCCCAATGAGAAAGTCGCGCATGTAACTTAATTTAGATGTCGATTACACTGTGCGAGCCGTGATATTTCGATATCAACTATGTATAATAGAGCAAGTGTTTATCTCATGCATGCGTGCAAATGCAATCTTTATGAGTCACTTGATTTTATATTTCGTTTTCGAATAAACTATTTGCGCGATTGATATCCTCAAGTTTGCGCAGTTTTCGCATCGTAAAAAACTGCTATCTTAGAACGTTCGAAAAGTATTCTGCGTGATACATTGGGATCTTCCTCCATTTGAATATCTCAATTTACAGATTACGGGAAGTTGTGGAAATTCGACGTAATAAACTAGCTGTATCCACTTATAAATAAATAAAAATCTTATCGCGCTATCGGATAATCAATCTCTTTGAATTATGTCACGGTTATCATGCAATTTAAAGGATGATACACGAGAAATTTTATAATAAACGTAGATTATAAACGTTGCATTACAATACGAGAATTTCATACTGATCGCAAATTATCTAAACGATTTTCAAGTCTTACTATGTGCGAATAAATCAATATCACATTGTATGAATACATCCGCGATTATGTAAACAAACGTTTATAATTTTAAACAAAAATTTTCTTTTTCTTGTGCAGTCGGCATGATAAAAGTTGCAACACTTTTTTTCTTTTTCGCAACGCTTTCAGTGTCCTTGTTTTTTAGTAACTTTCAAAAGATACATTCGCCTATTGGATACGAAATGCAACTATATAACAAGAAAAAAAGATTGGTAATCGTAGATATCGGATTTTAACAATGATATCGGAAGAAAAAACGAACTGAAACCATAGTTCCAAGGAGAAATAAAATGTAAAATGATAGCATTGATTTCGTCGTCACGAAACCATCACATTTCGTTCTAATCGATAGATAACGAAGGTATAATTGTACAATTAAATTCAATGCTTGCGCGGAATGCCCGAGAACAAAGGTTCAGTGTCGAGAGAGGTGTTGTGAGACATGTCATGACATTACTTCACATTGCAATCGCAACTGAGCGAAGATTTATACATACTTATACACGCTGTAACATAATGTGACGCTTTAGAGATCAAACGTATTATCTTTTCGCGCATAAATTTGAATTGTAAATTTATATTGCTCGTCGTTTTCTTTGAATAATAATACTAAGACAGCGAATTGCTTGATAAGTGACGAGCGGTTGATGTTAAAAATATCGCTTTAGAAAAACGTCTAGAATACAAAATAAAATAAATATACAAGTTTAATCTTTCTCTCTTTTCAATCCTCCTTTCTCTTCTTCATTTCGTTAAACGATTAAAATTAAAGTGCACTTTCGCAATTCTCAAATAGTTACATGTATCTTAATCCTTACGGACAACCGTACGGAAACAAATGGAAGCATAATTAACAGACGAGTGGGAGTGTACAAGCGTACATTACATAGCAAAATATATCTAATAACGTAATTTAATATAATTTAATATCCGTTGTTAAGTGTAAACGCTAACAATGTTCCCACAATTTATAAAAATGCACTCTAACGAGAATTATATTTACAATTCGTAAATCTAAGAAAAATCATGACGTGTCGAAAGTTCCCCTCTTTTTCTTCTTATTATTTTACTATTCGCCCTTAACGGTAAAGTGCTGTGTACTTTACAGTAAGTTGTTTCCCGACGACCCTCGCGTAAATTACACTTAATTAATTAAGAACGACTTTTATAATTCTTCAGTAACGCATATGACTCTTTCGTCTGACTATACGTACTTACTGTACCACACACGCACGCACGCACTCACACACGCGCGCACACACACACACATACACACACGCGCGCAAAACACACATACGTTCACACACGCATATCTGTCTCTCTTTAATTTGGAAATTTAACACAACTTAGCGAGGGAATCGTTCACGGACAATGTAACTGCGATATAGCATATGTAGCAATATAGAAATTTATATATTGCTATATATATATAGATCATTCGCGTGTATCTGCGAGTGAGGTTCGTACGCTGAGAGATAAAAAATCACCACTCGGCAGAGGTTAATTACAGGTCCAGAACAACCGAATCTTCCTTTAGTACAACTCGCGCAGCTAACAATAAATAATTAACGTATAAAACTTCTCACACGTCTAAGTCGTCGACCCGCGGACACATGGCTAGGACTTTAATAATAAAAATTAGCGGAATAATAATAATAATAACAGCGAGAGAGAATATCAGAGAAGCGGACGCTTAATCTTTGGTTCCTGCGTAGAGACTTACTCGCTAACGTAGTGTGTACTCCCATGAGACGAGGTTGTCGATGGTATATAGTCTGTCGGATTGCAATCGTCCGGTGCGCGGCTTACCGCGCGAGGTACGTCTGATTTTCCAGATTCGCGGCGTGAAACACCTCGCACATGGCGTTTCGTGTCCTTTGCATCAGTTCCTCCACGTCATCTGTGCCGAGCCCCTCGGTGGAAATGGCCGGCAACGTCGTTACGAGAATGCGACCTTCAATCAACAATTCTCTTTTCATTTTGTATTATGTTAATTAGATTAGATCTTATAATAAAATTCGTGACTGCCGCCTTGCCTTCTGCATGGTATTTTCTTGAAAGTCTTTTTCCTTTTCTTTTTATTTCGAACCATGATGAAATTGTTCTCGTAGAAAAATTCTTGCAAAAAGCATAACTATTAAAGTTTAATACCATATCTCGGTTTCAAAAGAAATTTTTCTTACATGAAGCTCCACAAATAAAATCCTTTACACGTAAGAAAATTTTTGCCGTAATTGTCCGTAAGAAAATTGATCGACTATAATTATTTTATTTGCGGTCAAAAATCGACTGCGAATAATCCATTTTTTTACGAACTTATGGTTACGACTAGAAATTTGTTACATGGTAACACCTTAAGGTTTCTGATTAATCGCTATGACTATTTAATGTCAAAATTGAAAAAAGATTTCTTGCGTTATACTTTCATGTAAAAATCCAGTCGATACGTGCAGAAATTTAATTGCAGCTATATATATAGCAATATATAAATTTCTATATTGCTACATATACATGTGCTATATCGCAGTTACATTGTTGAATACGAAATTATAATATTGATGTAAAGTTTGATTACATTTGATCGATGTAAAGTTTGATTACATTTGTTACATTTGAAGTTATACAGCTGCAATTCAACGTGTCGACTAAAAATATATGTTTACAAAATGATATTTGTAAACAATTTAGCACACTTGTAATAATGAACGAAAATTTTTTTTATTCAAACAATCAATAAAGTCGCAAAATTAACTTGACATGGAATTTTCCTTTCTAACCTCTTTTTTCGGCATTTTGTCAATATTAATTTTGCGACTATTTACTGATTATTCGAGTAAAAGAAAAGTGTTCGTTCAGTTTTTAAATTTTGCTAAATCATTCACAAATGTCATTTGATGTAATTTCGATGTCGATTTGACGTTAATTTCACGTCAATTGGATATACAATTCTCGCCTTTTTATTTGAAAGCATAAGGCAAGAAATCTTGACTTGCGTTTTCTCGCTTTTGGCGTCATTAAACAAGAACAGTTACAGCGAGTAGAAGTTACAGAGTCAGAAACCTTAACCAAGAATTGATTTGAACGAAGATTTCCTAATAAGTCGATTTTTCTGAGTTATTTCATTAATTATAGCGTTATAGTTCCTTACCAGAATCAAATTTCTTTTCTTCCGCGGACAGGAAATAATAGGGTGAGAATACAACCGGTAATATTGGTAACTGCGCCTTGATAGCCATGTGGAAGGCACCCTTCTTGAACGGATGAATTTCACCGGTGTTGTGCCTAGTTCCTTCGGGAAATATCCACAGTTTCACCTGCGAAGTATCGGACGTGTGAACGACGAAACACGCAATCGGATGATCGACGACTCGTGTCTCGTGATCAAGTATTTGTTTGGTCAAACAGAACGATGGTGTCTTTCAACTCGAGTCTTCAAGCTAACTCTTTCTAAATTCCAATGTAATCATTCGACATAATCATAATTAATTTTTCAGTATAGTCTGCCAACTATAAATTAGTATTTAGATTTATATTTACAAACTCGTATTTACATAGGCTCTGTTTAATGACTAACTATGGGAGAAATAGAACGGGCCTTTGAAACTCGGCTATCTCCGGCAGCTGTATTGGCTATGCAGTCGGCATAATAAAGATTATATTTCTTATCGACGAGTTTCATAACGCATTTCGTACATAATATGGAGATATATTTTTTAAGAATTATTAAAAACGAATTGTTTTATTCCGAAAATCGGAAGCGTTGCGAAATTCATGAAAAAAAAAAGTATCGTAATTTTTATACCGAATGTATGACGTCAAAGGCGAAAAAAATATGACATGCAGTCAATTTCTTGCGACACGTATAATCTTCCGATGTTCGGAATAAGACAATTCGTTTTTAGTAATTCTCAAAAATTTATATGTAATTTTTCTTGAAAAAAAAAAAACATAATAGTTGCGTTATCCTAAAACCAATAGAATATGCGATAAACTAAGATATTTCTATAATACGTCACGTAGTATCGCGAAATAATTCTTAAACAAATGATACATTTTTAGCCATATTTAGGCGCGCTATGGCAGCGAAGAATAGTTGAAAATGTATTTTTTCAGGAATTATTTTGCGATTCTACATGATATTGGACAAACATCTCAGTTTGCTGCATATTTTACAAGTTTCAAACAAGATTACGAAATTACCATGTTTTCAGAAAAAAACTAAGAGATAAAACTATATATAATGGAAGAAGTTGTATGCCACGCAGTATTTTCGCTTCTGATAACATACTGCATACCTACAATTTGGCTGCTAAAGATAAGCGAGTCTTAAGAATTAAATCACGGCTGTTATAGCGACATATTATTTTTAATAATTGTGGAAGAACTAAAATAGAAGGTTCAAAAATTTAGAAAATTCGAAATATTCAAAGAATTTTGATGTTTTTACACTGTTATTTCCTTCTTTGTAAACAAATAAAACGAAGTGCTTAACTAACGACCCAAAAATATTATCAGTTATAGGAAGCAGCGCGAGATAAATATTGTTCACTTAAAAAGTAGAGAGAGAGAAAGAGAGAGAGGGGAGAAACTACACCTTCTTTTCCTTAAGTTTCTGCGTGGCGTTGTTGAGGACGGATCGCGCAGACTCGGAATTCATTCTGTCGATAAAGATCATGCCGCACAACCACGCGCCGAGGCCGAACGGCCACGCGTAAAAGATCTCCTTTTTGGCCACGACGGTGCACTTTTCCATCACTGGCCACAGGTCGAACATCCCCAGTATATCTATCGAGCTCTGATGATTCGCCACTATTATGCAGGCCCTATCCCTTTCTAGATGTTCTCTTCCTCGCAGCTCCCAACGCAGTCCCAGCAGAGTGCTGATGTGATGGCATAACCATGATGCCAACCTGCAAGAACAAGTTTCACTTGGCATGGGTACAATTTAGCAGAAAATCCGAAGCGACAATCCGATATCTCTCAAACGCGCTTTGCGAATACGAATTTGCCTTTTACGCCAGTAGAAAACATTTTTCCCCCGTTTATCTCTGCGAAATTCTCAAATGCGCACATGCACCGACGTCCTGAGATGTTGTTACAAAGTTTCTCGCGATGATTTTTCAACATTTTTTTTCCAGAAATAGATACCTGATTTGGACACTTCGATTACATTATGTAAACAATTTTCTTTGAATTTTTTGTTCCTGGGTTAAAATTGTTATTTTCTAATTGCTTATGCCTCAAAAGTACAGAAAGTGGTTTATTTTCCACAAAGTTTGCTTTTGTGAACAGGACAATGATATTGTAATATTTACCTATTTTCAATGGGAAAACGGGCGAATCTGAGTCTTTCTGTTCACATAAATTCAGAACAAAACGATATATTAACTAAAATTAAAATGTACCTATCTATTCTAATACCTATAATATTTTCCTATCTTACAGAACATTCCAGATTGGTAAAGTGCTAAATGAACCTGAAGTAACATTTGAAACTTTCTAGAACTCTTAGAAACCTCGAGAACGTTATAGAACTTTTCAATAATAAACAAATAATATAAATATAGGTTTTAAACCCATTAGTTCCGTTTTCTGTTTTTCTGTTCCTGTTACCTAAATGGATATATATCTGCATATTTCACACAAAATAATATCAAGATATTGTAAATATCCGGCAGATGCATTTTGCTATGTATACGATTAATTTATCAAGAGGTAAGCAAAAAAAATACTCTGTGAATACTATAACAAGATCATGATAGAAGACTATGTTTGAGAGCTGATTCGTGAAAGTGATTTACAATATAATCGTAAATTTCTAAAAATTACTCACTTCTAAATTTTTTTGTAAACATTTTTGTATAAATAAATATGATTATATAATAAATATATAATTTTTATATATATGTTGTTCTTTGACTTTATATGAACAAAAATACACAAATTCACCCGTTTTTCATTAATGAAAATAGCTGAATCTCAAAATATAATTGATGATAAAAACAAAGTTTTTAGGAAATAATAACAATTTTTAGATATAATCAGTCGGGGTGACATTTGCTATCCAGGAACATACATTGTATCACATAGTATTATTATTATTATTATTATAGAACTATTTAACGCTTTGTGTGTATTCAGTTCGCATAAATTTCGTAGAATGAAAAGTTCGTAGCACGAAAAGAAAGATCGTGTAAAAAATCGTGATATGATCTATATAAATGTGAGACTATTTTGTCTTTCGAATGATACATATTTAGTGATGTCGGTGAATGTATAAATGATAACGTACGGAACAAAGTGGTATTTTCACAATGTACTACTTGTTAAAGATTAAAGTTTACGAAAGCGCGATATATAAAGAGAAACATTCGATTCGTATTGAAAATATCACCGAACAGAGTTACGTGAATTTCAACGTCTAATGGCGACTATTTCGCTTTTCATTTCTCTTTAATAGCTTCGCTCTTTTACCGTACTTTTCGGAATAAACATTTTCAACAAGAGCATCATTACAGCGTTCTAAAGGCGATGCAGATTCATTATTCGAACAGTTCGCTAAGAGATTGAAGTTCGCTAACGCATCAGTCATTTATGGATGGATGTTGTTAACAAAAAATGATTGAAAAGGACATCTACAATTACGCGCGTATTATGAGGATGACGCATATAGTTTTTACTACTTCATTTTAGTCAATCTTGCGATTAATATTTTAAATCAAAGGTTACGTAGTTTTCAGCCCGTTCCGATTTCATAAGTTTGAATATATCATTTTGTAAGAAGCTCGTGATTCAGCATCCAAAGATTACATTCGATTACGCGCGAACAATACGATCAGAAGCGTGAGGACCTTATACTTTGTGTACCTGTACTCGTCGTTTCATAATAAGAGATCATTGATTTCGATTAGAGTGACTCGAGGCAAAATGAGAGATTACTTGTTTTGATAAATATGCTGATAAAAGCATCTGTATCATTGAATAATATTACGTGTGTCCTTGAGAAACACGGATGTACAGAACCAGCATCCTCTTTCGTTCTTTTCAAAAAGAAGTAGATATCGATATTACGAGAATATCCTCGCGAACTCCTCGAATTATTTTCGGTCAACAAGATCGGTGTTTTTAAAGTGCCATGAATACCCACGCAATTAACCAGCATTCGTTAATTATTTCCATGCGCCTTGATTATTTGACAATTTTTCTATCTTTTTGTAATAACGCAGCTCGCTTACGTCGGTGCGATGCAAATATCGCGTTTATTACTATTTAGCGGCGATATTATGGAAAGCGATTCATTCACGCGCACGATGGCTCAGAGAGATACAACAAGTTTAACCTGTTAATTAGGAAATTCCTTTTTTAATTATGCAACATATAACGGGCGTGTACTCTTATTACACATATTTCAAGGACGAATAATGAATGAACGAATAAACGTACGGACGGGCAAGCACGCACAATAATATCGATCGCGCGCGACTACCGTTATTCCTCCTATAATACTCTTACTACTAACACGAAATTTTTGACGTTGCGGGGCCGCAACGAGAGGATGGGCATGAGTAGGGCTGAGTTCAATAACACGGTGAAGCAATAGACGAAGAACTTGAAGTGGTAGCGAAACGTGCGACTGGTCTCATACAGAAACGGCAGCACGAGGATGCAGCAGACGAGGATCACCTCGAAGTAAGAGGCCATCTTCCTCCGAGAAGATAGACACGTTGTTTCGAGCAAATTTACACACTTTCTTCCCCTCTTCTGTTATCTCTTTTCTGCTCGTCGTTTCTTTCTTTCTCTCGTTCGTCCTTTCTTTCTCTCTCTCTCTCTCTCTCTCTTTCTTTCTCTCTCTGCCACAAGCAGCTTCCTTAGCTTTCTTACGGCGATATCATTCGGCAGATGGACACTCCCTGTGGTCGTTCAACTCGGCTTTTTTCTTTCGTTGCTGACGTTTGGGAAATGTTACGGAACGGCGTTGTCAGCAGGTTCGTGTCTCTTCAAGCTTTTTCGGATATGCACCACACAACACAAAGCAACGCAACGCGCTGCTGCGCAGGCGGACACTGTCGTTGACGGCGGGCGGCAACGCGCTTTAATACCATCGTGTCTGCCGTACAGAGGGAGAAGGTTCTCTTCCCGACGACTTACCCCTACCGATCGGTCAGTCGATCGATCGGCCGGTTTGTTATTCAACGTGCGACCCTACAAAGAGGTTGTAACATGTGATTTATCGATGCTTCCGGTCTTTCGCCAGTCTGAAATTGAGAATTATGTTGCTGTATGTAACTATATGTGTAAAATAAAAAATCTAAAATATAAACTCTCTCTTGTATAATTACGTTTATTTTATAATTTTATAAATCCAATTCTCTTTTTGGATGCGTTCGACAAACACGACAATTGAATAAACAAATTTTGGAGGATGGATATGATTGGAAGAAATATATATCAATCATAAATAATCTGATATTTTATCCAATATAATCATAGATAATTTTTGCTCAACAACTGCACAATCGTTGTGTTCGTTGAATTTTGCATTATTTTGTCTCGATTTATTATAGATAATTTATTGTCCACAAATTATTTAACACAAAAATTTCGTTTATTGTGCAAATTGGTCTAGTTTTTTCGCGATGAATGATGGTAAAAACGTCTAAAAGACATTTGAAAAAGTAAAACGTTTTTTAGACTTTTCCGTTGTTTGGGTATAAAAATGTAGACGAAATTTTGCGTGAAATAAGATTTGTGCAATTGTCTCTAATTAGCATAAGATTACTCTTTTATTTTATGTATCTTATATAATGGAGAAATTACTTACGTATTATTTATATGTATTTAATAGTAAGAGAGGGAGGGAGGGGGAGAGAGAGAGAGAGAGAGAGTCATACCGATGAACTAACGAATGACAAAGTCTCAGCGTATACGATGGCTGCAATATCACCGTGAACGTAAAATATATTTTGATGAGAAGCATTCTCGTCTCCGATTAAGTCCATAGATTTCATTTTACCTAGAGATATCGTTTGACCCTAGAAAAGAAGGTTGTGATATGTGTGTTACTAATTCCTTTTGTCTTCTGAAAATTTAAATTCTTATAGTGAACAAGAAAACTTTTATACTTTTCTATAATTACGCTTATTTTCTCCAGTCTTCTATATCTAATCTTTATTTTATCTAATCTCACTTTTAAATAACTCACTGTGTACGCATTTTTGACATAAAGATTTTGTCCATTGTTCAAGCTGACATAGTTTGTCTCAAGACGATTACTGATAATATAAGATATATCGCGAATATTATTAATACATTATTAATACATTAACACATTCGCTGCCACGCTCCTCGGACGTATTTCCTTCTATCAAGCCGTCAGACATGTTTTCCGCTTTATTCTCAAGACAAGGGTCCAAATTAACGTCCAAATTAACGTGCTTATACTACGGATTAACTCATGCTTGGTACAGGAGGTCGGTGATCGACATACGAGTATATTCGTAATTGGCTTGTGAGGCTCAGAGTATACTCGTAGTTGGCAGCGAACGTATTAAAAAAAGATAAAATGTATCAAATAATATGAATATACCCAAACGACACGAATATTTAAACACTTCTTAAGAACTTGTAAAAAAATTTGAAAAATAAGTTTCTTTAAGTAACTTTTAAAGTTTTAACTGATACTTTTATGGCGTCTTTTCGACATTTGTTTTATCTTGCCATAAAGAAAGATAAAACTTATATAAAATAAGATTTATACCATTGTCTCTAGTTGACACAAAGTCACGATTTTCATACTTATCTATATCATGTAATGCTTGAGATTATTTATCTAAGTTGATTGTAAAATTCGAGCCGATAAATTGACGAAAGACAAAACATTCACGACGGCTGCAATAATACCATCGTGGGCGTAAAATACATCTTGATGGAAAGTGTTTCCGTCTTCTCCGATTAAAGGCGATGAATCTTGACTTGACCTGGGACATCGTGCATCCAACGCCGTTAACCGTAATAGAATTAATGTCAATCTGCATTTTCGTTATGCAGCTCTTGAGATAGCTCTACGATGCAATGCAGGTGGCGGAATAAAATGCCAATTAAAAAACCTATGGATGATGAAGTAATCTGAATGAAATATTCAGATTTGTTTTAGATTAAAGTTGGGTATTATTCATAATTTAAAATAATGAAAAAATTACGAAAAAATTACAAATTGGCCTACATTGCATTTAAAAATGACACTAAAAAGTTTGATTATAATTTAGAATTTAAATCAAAAGTTTTTCTACTTTAAAGAAGATTATAAAGGGAAATAATTTTAATAAAAACTCGATGAAACTTGCACTGCATATACAGGGAGTCCCAAAATTCACGCAAGAAGTAATTTTGATAGAAAACACAAATTTATTATTAAAAATTGTAAATTTTTTATTAATTCATAAAGTATACAGTATAGGGTTATGTATGGAATAGCATATCGGGTAAATGGCTTCCACGGCTTTGCTGGCACATACGCACTCTTTTATTGAAATTTTCCATGACCATTTTGCATAAATGTGGCAGAATTTCGTTGATACAGCGCTCAATTTCCTCTTTCAAGGCATGGGTGATCGTGGGCTTGTTGGCATAAACCTTAACACTTCAAAAAACCCCAAAGAAAAAAGTCCAACGGCGTCATATCGCATAATCTGGGCGGCCAATTCTGATCACCAAAACGGGAAATTACACGACCAGGAAATAACTCATGCAGTAATTGGATTGTTTCTCGGGCATATGACTCCGTCTTCTTGAAATCACATGTCGTCTACATCCATATCTTGCAATTTAGACACAAAAAACTTGATTTTCATGTCGCGATAGCGAGTACCATTAACTGTTATTGCCTGACCAGCCGCTTTTAGAACTTTAGTTATATATATCTGAGTTCTCAAATGATCAATGTTTCTCAAATTACGTGAGCATACATAAGTTAGATAATATTTAAATATATTTGCAGTGCAAGTTTCATCGAATTCTTATTAAAATTCTTTATAGCATTAATAAGATTTATAGCATTTATAGCATTAATAAGAAAAGTAAAAAAATAATATTTTCGTATTTGTAATATTATGTATATATATCCACCATAATTAACAACTTTTAAATTAACATTTTTACTTAGGTAGTAAAATAAATATATAGGAAAATAATTTTTCTTGATAAATATTAAATTTATGAGTGGCCTCCTTGATGCACCACTGAAAATACAGTACTAATACTCAATAAATCCCTAAGTCTTTATGTATATTTCAGTCTTACTCATCTTATCAAGCTGAAATCGATCTTTATAAAAAAAATGAATGACTTTTAAAATTTATAATTATCAGAACTATCCAAGAAAATTAATAACAGCAATTGATATTTTATGTAGAATATCTCTGATATTTTATATAGAATATCTCACATCTACTAAATGTTTTTAATCTTTTATCTAGTTTTGTTGTATTTCTTAAATTAAAATGTGTTTTTGATACGTATAAATGAAATCAAACAAATGAGAATAAAATATAACATATGTCTTGATAAACACCAAGTAACAGCTAGATTATATCAATCTTCCCGTACAACAATGTAAGTGCAATAGAATATATAGTTATATTTCAAAATTCACTAGCAGCGTTGAAAGTCTATAGTTCATGTTACATATACTATAGATTTTTAGCACTGGCAGTAAATATTGGAACACAGCCCATGTATATGAGATACATTACTAAAAGGGAAATTATAATAATTACTATATTATATATTAATATTATTGTTACTTGGTATTTTGGGGATATATTCATGGCAATGAAATACCATGAAATATATACATGGCAATGCATACCATGGCAATAAAAAGAAAGAACAACGCAGATGTAATGAATATAGCTGAAAAAGAGGTCGGAAACGTCATATTAGCCAACATCAATAAAGAAGTATTTTAATATCTCAATATCCGTTTCCGGTCCGTAATGTGATGGCACTGCACGAAGAAATTGGGCCTTTCAACTACACCTATTGCCTTTATTCTCTTATAGAAAATCTCTTCTCACTCTTGGCAATATGTATGTTTATTTCGTTCAAAGTACAGAAAATGTAAAACAGTGTAGATGATAGGAACAAACCTTAGGTTTTCCTTTTCTTCTCTTCTCTCTTTAAAATATATAGAGTACATTTAGTTTTATACTAAAGCCGGTGGCACACAATAGGTCTGTTCGTTTTCGCTACACCGCTGAACCAGTGCAATAAGTTGAAATGAGACAAGTATATGTTTTCTCACTCCAACTTATTGCACTAATTCAGAGGTACAGCGATAACGAACAGACCTAATGTTTGTTTTCGTGCTGGATTGCTCGCTGGGTAGAAATACTGCGTTCTGACTGGTGCATTTCCAAAAATGGATAACAATACACCAATCAAAACGCAGTATTTCTATCCAGTAAAGAATCCCAGCACGAAACAAGCATCGTGTGCCGCTGGCTTTAAATGTTCATTAAGCGTTAGTGAGATCTATCTAATCTTTATATCTAATTGGTGAATATTTTGAAATCGAAAAGAATACATCATTCAGATGCTTAGTGAGCGGTTGTACGGAATGCTAGAATATATATTGTGTTTCGATTTGTTGACTCGACCCGACTCGAGCAGTATTCCGATATTCGCTATAATATTGCAAACCATAGTATACGTAACTTGAAGTATAGATTGCAGTATTGTAAAGATTATCGGAACGCTGCCCGGGTCGAGTCAGCAAATCAAAAACCTCAATATTTAGATCTGTTCGTTCTCGCTGCACCGCTGAACTAGTGCAATAAGTGAAGTGAGAAAACATATATTTGTCTTGCTTCAACTTATTGCACTAGTTCAGCGGTGCAGCGAAAACGAATAGACCTTTTGCTTCTTTTCGAGTGCAGAAAGTATAGAAATTGAGGGACAACAGTGGTACTACGATTCGAGCCCGCGCATGGCTAGCGTTTTATTCCCCTTCCATTACCCATGAAGAGGCATCTGTCTATCTATATGACAATGCACACTTTGCTCATGTCCCCTGATAGGTAAGCGGTTCTGTTTGTTGTGTGTGTGCGTGTATGTGTGAGTGTGTAATGGAGGGGGAAAAATGTTGGCGCGGACTCCACTGTGATTTCACACTCATTCTATCGGGACACGTGAGTGGGAAGTAGGCGTGTGTCGAGGCAGATGTTGCTGCGAGGAACGTGGTTAAAAGAGAGCTAGCAGGTAACATTTCCTATAGAAAAATCGAGAAACTCTCCTCATATCTAAATTACGCAAAGTATTTTTATAGATTCTAAAGATTTTTCTGCGGTATAACTAGTATTTGTTACGTATGTACTGTGTTAATCGTGTTAACCTTACATGACTACCGACCGAAATATTATTTACCGTATATTTATATGTTTTTCCCACGTGTGATGACAGTAATAATAGCGTATTTCTTTGACTTCCTCCAAGTTTTTGCATGCGAAACTTTGTTAAGACAGAATTAAGTTATAATTTTTTCGCGAGACAAAGACATTAGTATCCGTATTCTGTGTTTTCTTTTATTGATAAAAGTATCTCTAAAAGTGGCTTAGAAACTACCTGATTAGCTGAGAAATTATATTTAAGGCATTTTTATCGATAAAAAAGAATTCAGAATATGTCTATTCTTTTTCGCTGAACTAGTGTATATTTATAGAATTTAAAAAGAGACAGATACACAGTTGAAACTTTGTGGAAGAAAGAGAAGAAGATAGCTAGTGTAGTCCGTTCCCTGGAAAAGAATAGACCTTTTGTTCAAAAAGATTTTTTCCCCTTTTTCGTTTCTTTCATTCTGTTTAGCTGTAGTATTGGGGTTATATGACACAGTTATCTGAAGAAAATTCTAGCTCATTTTAAGATTTAATCGATGTTTATAGAAACGGGTATGTCAATGAAAAAATTCGATTTTTTAATTAAATTGGATTTAAATTGGGTTTTATTATATTCTATGAAGATAAATTCCTCACCAATTGCTGTTGCTTGGAAATATTTTTATACCTCTGTTGTAGAAAATAACAAACAAATGTACCATTGAAGAAGACAAAACATTGGACCAAACAATTTGATTAATAAACTATTAAAAAAATTTACATTAACAAAAATTTTGATTATATATTATGATATACTATTGATAAGTATAAGCCTTGAATTTTACAAGAAACTGAAGTAATTATTGGTATTACTGGGACAAAGGGAATAATAGAAGAAAGCAATAGAAAATGTAATTTCCATATTCTTGATTATGGTTATATGATAGAAAAGTAGAAAACAAGACATTTCATTTTGCCTATAGTCATATATTTCACTGCTTGATCATCTATTTTGTAAGATATATATTTCTAATATTTCATGGGACACGAAGTCATTCTCATCGTCCATGTCTAAGTTGAGACATTCCTTGGGAACGGTCTACACAATTTTCGAAATTGATGGCCATGTGTTTTGTAGCTCATTAGTAACTTCGTCAGTTGATCATTCCTCCTATAAATATTTGAATGTTGATAGGAAATAAGTTTTGTAGAACATATTTTATATTTTTTGCAGTACAGTATTTCCTAATAGCCAAGAGGAGCCCATCGAGGTGTTAAATGAACTTCAACAATGCGAAACGAAACAACACTTGAGGAAATTCGCCAAATTCTCCTGTCATTATTGGTGGCTCGGCCAGGTTCAACACCAGTTGCTCTTCTCGACAATGATTATTATGAGGCGGAAGGCAGACGAATACCATGGCGTGATTTTGGTTTTGCCAGTGTGGTCGAGTTCTTGCAAAGCATGCCACAATACTTTTATGTTGAACGGCGAGGCAACGTCAACTATGTTCACGGTATCGCTTCGGACAAGAGCAAGCACGTAAGTTCGTTGGTATCGCGTCAGAGGAAGACCGTGATAAAGCACGGTTCCTCCAATCGTTATCGACTTCCCTACGTCTCATACATACCACATCAAAGGCCGAAGATCCCGGCCGAGCAACTAAACGATCTCATGCAATACGTGCGGAACTTTCCGGAAGGCGTCAACATAAGGAAAGCCATAATGATTTTGAAGAATCAATTGCCACATATCACACTGACCGAAAATGATGTACGACATCAGTTGCGCGAACTAGGGCATAATCTGTATCTCGACGGCGATATAATTCGCCCGGTGTTGAAAAATAGTTTCCTTCTCCAAGTGAATACCTTGAGCCACAGTCAGTCTCCGTTACCGGCATCGAAGCTATCGAGCTCTAAAGTGCCTGAACCATCGACCTCGAAGCTGCCAAACTACAAAACGTTTAAACCATCAACCTTGAGGCTGCCGAGCTACAACACGTCTGAATCGTCGACTTCGAAAGTTGTGTACACCGTCCCTGAAGAATGTCCCAATTTAGAAACGGACGATGACTACGATGAGGAGGGCGACTTCGTGCAATCCAGCTCACAACATCGTTTGAGGTGGCCGAAGGCGGACGAGCGCATTGCGTTGAGTTTAAAGGATCATTATAGTTATGAACCGACGTTTAGTTACCACGATTATAAGAGAACGGAGAATGAAAAATATGGTAACGATGATACTCAATATCCCATGAATTCGGATATGATTGAACACGAGAATAATAACTTGGTGAATTTAGTAAGCGACAAGGTACGATCGCGACTGAAGCAATTGATGCAGAAGTATCCGAACGGTATCCGTTGTTGGGAACTGTCAGAATTATACATGAAGGAATACAAGATGCCACTCAATTACGCCGATCTGGGTTTCAACAGTGTTCACGCCTATGCTTGTTACTTGTCAGATATTTTCTATGTGTCACAAAAAAGTACGAATGACGATTTTATATTGTATAGCGTGGACAAGAAACCGAATAAGGACGTGGCCGAAAGCAACAACCAGGAAACATCTAGGAGTTATGTTCAGAAGACATCCAGAACAAAGCCGATTAACATACCAAACTCGAGGTGTGAGCTGCACAACATGAACGAAAATAATACACCGGTTCCCTCAGATCTTGTAAGTAATAAGTTTTATATTTTCATTTTTAATATCTGTATTTGTCCTTTAAAATTTTATTCTATACCCTTTAAAATTTTATTCTATATTTTTCATTAAAAATTAGCTTTATAGGATATTTATCCTAGCAACGTATTTTTCATTTACATTCGATCCTAATATAATTAATAAAAGTAATTCTGGTAATTTCTAATAATTATTCTAATAACCAATAAAACTCATGTTTCTGACAACGATGGATATTAACATTTGGTCTGTTTTTTTTTTTTTTTTTTTTTNAATTTACACACACTGAAGCGTGAGAATCTCTCACGTAGGCTTCGCACGCTTCAATATGTATGTAAATTTCTTGAATTAGTGCAGCCAGTTCAGTTAAAAAGAACAAATCAATTGGGATTCACGAAAGAATTTAAAGCTGTTTAAACATTAAGACGATCGCAAGATAATTGAATCATGTTATCCCGCAGTCTCCCAGTATGTTCGATAAATTTGTCCCCGAGAATGTGATAACGAATTATGAGGATATAAAGCATATACTGGTGACTGATTTGCAAAAAGGCACGAAGCGTTATCTGGAAGTTTACGTTGTGGAGATATTTACACCGTCTTTCTTTTGGGTACATCTACGGCAAAACAAAAGGCACTTTGAGATGTTCATGGACGATTTACAGTAAGCATCTTGTACAAACAGTTTGCGAATGAATCTGTATTCGAGTAGAACATAAATCTGCATTTTTGTCTGTTTCCGTCTAGCTCTTTTTACAACAAAAATCACCAGTCTTACAGTATTCCGAGATTCGCGTTGAAGCGAGGTCTAAACTGTGCATGTGTTTATTCTGGAAAGTGGCACAGAGCAGTCATCAAAACTGTAAAGCCGGACTTCAAAGTCACCGTGAGTAAAAATATGGTTTAACATGTTATACACACGATCTACAGGATGTCTAATGCAAGCTATATTATCCGTCATATATTTGTAATTTAGGTCAATATGAATTTAAAAAATTCTCGACCTATTCACAAACAATCATGCAAATTTAACAGGTTCAAGGTTCGAAGTTCAAAGTTCAATATACTGATGTCTTTCACTAGATTCAACAGCTGTTTATTAAAAATCCTTTTACCATTTTACAAAGAACCACACAAATTTTGGAATTATTAATTAAAATAGCCTCTATATATTTTCAATAATTAAGTCTCCGGAGTAATGCCGCGGCCATATTGCATTCGTGACGTCATAGGCGAGAAATGACAGGTTGAGAAATATTGCGTGCCATTTGCAAATAAAAAGATATTTGGATAAAACAATACTTGAGATCGCTTGGAGATACTTGTAAACATGGACGAAAACTCTCCTTTTCTCTTCTGACAGTTAGTAAATAGTCGTAAAAAGTATGTGATATAAGGCCCTATTTATGTAAGAAAACACATGGTTTTACAGCTATTGAAAGGAATGGAAAATATGCTTCTACATATAAAATTCCAAGCTAATCTTAGTTTTCGACCATTTTTACAAGTTTAAAAAATATGTCATAAGTCACACCTGCACAATTAAACAAATAATAATAAAATGGCACGCAACACAAAATTTCGTTGTTAACATGTTACTCTTCACGCATATAAGTACAGTCCAGTAAGTGCTATAAATGCTTCGAAGCGTTTCTCCTTCTTTTTCTTCTTTTATTTGGATCCGAAAAATAGATGAAGAAATAGAAACACTTTGAAACATTTGTAGCGTTTGCTGCACGCATTCTATTAGTTTATTCTTTGTTCTTTTGTCGTTCCAAACTGTGCTACTATCAACGCGGAGTTCTCGGTTGACTACACCGGAGCCTTAATAAATCGACATTTTGTGTGATTGTTTGCAAAATTGTAGAGCACTTTTTTCGTTTATATTGACCCAAACTACAAGTATATGACGGATGTAATTATATAATCATTGCTCGCTTGGGAATGATATCGTTGATAATTATTTCTCAACAGGTACTGTTTTACGATTACGGAACTCAGAAAACGTATATACCAGAGGATTTATACTACTTGCACAGTAACTTCTCCTATTTGGCAGCACAAGCCATACCATGCGGTCTGTTCAATGTCAAGCCGTACGTAGGAGATCGTTGGAAAAAGAGTATAACTGATCGTTTCATCGACAGGATATCGGATAGTCTTTTGGCCGCAGATATAGTTTCGATTGATCCTCCGGTAAGATTGCTTCTACAATTATTAATATTGAATCGCTTTCTTAGGTCAGCATTCATTATCAGATCTTATGTACAAGAGACCGTCTTAAGTTTATTATCTTCAGACGCTTCGTAGTGATGAAATGAGTCATATATTATCTGAAGATAAACTTAAGACAGTTTTGTATAAAATTTGTATTATCCGACTATGAATATCAGCCTTAATTTCATTTCCAACACCGGACAACGAAGGCAAACAAAGATGTGTTTCGTTGAATCTGTGACGTATATGAGATATAATTATTAATATGTTTCTTTGTTTTCGCAGAATAATTCCATGTTAATCATTCTAACCGACACGAGTGAAGAAGAGGATGTACATATAAACGATTGGCTAGTGCAAGAAAATTTAGCGCGATGTGGAAAAATGGTGCGTATCAACCGAAATATTCCGTTTGAACGTTATTATATGCGTCACCTTGCCAGTGCATCCGAGCCTGTCGAAACTGTAGCCGATACAGATCAAGCGAAACGCGATATAAATCGATTAACACTTTCGGGCAATAAGCATACGCATAGATTACCTAACGTGATCAGCGAAAGCTCCGTGAATAATATTAAGGCTTTGCCCGAAGTCCCAGATCGAAAGATTGTCCTACATTATAATATTAACGAGCACGTGTCCGGGAGAAACTCGTTGGATTCCATGTCGCGGCCGAAAGGCAATTCGACGAGAGAGCACAAACCAAAGAGATTCGTGAATTTACTCCAGTTGGTCAAGGAAATGAGAGCGAGGCATAACATGTCTAGCTCGAATGATTCCACTCCGAAAATGCCTAAAGACGATGTGTCGCGAATGGATTCGGACGCGAAGGTACAAATGGAGCCACGACATAACGAGGAGCACTTTGATTACGAAAGAATAAAGAGAGAATTGAACACAAATTTTGATCAGTGGGATTCCGATAACGAGACAGAGAACACCAAAAGAAACTTCGGAACGTCCCGCAATATATACGATAGGCACAGTGAAATGACTCCTTTCGATTGGTCGGTGGTTAGGCAAATGAGTACTCCTTCCTTCTCATCTTTGCGTGAAAATTTGAATTCGGCCAACACGACAGTCAACGCGAACACGAACATAAATGAAGCGAGGAAGGCACCGGCGTTATCGTCAATGATTCGACACTGTCACGAGACAAATGATAAGATAAAAGAGTCATCAAAATCGTTTATTATGGAGGTGGCTCGTATGGATAGTACGGAGTACTTCTTGGCCGATAACAATATCGACCATGACGGCGAAGACATGTCGCAGTCTGTGGCGAGGTTACGACGTAGATTGGAAACACAAAATGATAACTGCACGAAGATAATCGTGCCGAGGAAGATGCTTGAGAAGTTGCGTCTGTACGCTTGCTCCAAAAAATCCGCAAGTTGCGACACCATGGCCTCTTCGTTGATCGAGAACTTGAATAGTGAGAACTCCTACATAATCAAAAGTGATGAAACGCGCGAAACAAGAATCGATCATGAGATAGAGAACAGAGATTCTCACTTCGAGTCTGTGAAACCTCCACAAGACTTGCACTTATTTCCGAAAGATAGTTTGGAATCCAGAAAATACCACCAGCGTACTCCCAATAGTTTGTTCAATTCTGGATACGAACTGTTGTTGAATCATTTAAGCCGTACGAAACAACGTAATTCGTGTTTCGAGAGTATGAAAGGTTGGTCCAACAGTGGTCCCGAACGGTCGTCCTGTTATAGTCGTAGTAGCACCGAAGAGACCATGAACTTGTCAGATGACGAGCAGAGGGAGGCACTCAGCCGGAAGAACGTTATGTCGCGCTTCAACAAACTACAAAACTTTACGACGAAATCCGCGTCCAGAAAGTTGATCGAACAATCATCGAGCAATAAATCGAACTCTGAAGTGGAAGGCGTTGTATCGGATAATGATGAATCTCTCTCTGATGTTATATATCCACAACTAAATCGGATGAACTTATTAAACGATTTGCGTGCGTCGGAGGAACTGTTGCGACATGTGCTGAAAATGCAGTGGGAGTTGAATCAAGAACAATTGGACTCAGACGATGACAACTCGAGTGATCATGAAACCAACGATAGTGTCGTAACACCAGACTTAACGACTATTCATGGCGCGTTTTCTGTAAGCGATTTAGCGGATAACGACGCAATAATGCCCGTCACGTCGAATCCACCAATAATCAACGATCTCGACATAGACTCCGACATAGATTCCGATATAGATTTCGACAGTAGCATTTGGAAAACTACTTAGGCCTCGACTTTCTCCATTTTCTACTTTGTTAAACGCATGATTAAGCTTTGGAAAGTAGATCTGTAAGATTTTGCAATATATCTCGAGATAAATTACAAGGATTTCTACATTTTTTTTTTATTAAAGAGACAGACGCATTCTCTTGTTGTGTTTTATTTCTAACATATTGTAAAACAATCCTTACATTCTGTTCAAATGTGTACAATATCTTATAATTTTTCAACTATGATCCACGCTTTGAGTATAGTTATAATTGTAACTAAAGTCATATGTAAATGTGTCTGATAGAAAGTTCATGTTTGTCTTGAAAACTTATATATAGAGAGAAAATATTCACTTTTAAAATTATAGACTAGTATGAAAACGTATTATGAGTGATTTCTAGTAATTTTGAGTTACCATATATTTGATTTTTAAGTTATCAAATAATTTTTTTTGTCGTGTTACTGTCAGCAGTGTTCATAACTTTTATATGAGCGTATTTTTTTTAGAAAACTCAACTATCTTGTTACATATCTTTATATTTTTACTTACATGTATTTATTATACTTACTTATATATTTATATCTTATAATTATTCAAGAGTTAAAAATAATTTGGATAACATGATGAACACTTTGGATACTTATCATTAGTTACTAATAATAATAGTTAATAATAATAATAAAGATTTATTAAAAACTTGTAATTCCTAATGATATTATATCTCGAAAAAGGTTTTTGAGAAAATACGTTTAGACAAAAGTTAATAAGCTCATTAAGTATTATTGTGTGTAACGATTTAAGTACTGCTATCAATAGTAAAACAAAATAGATAGTAGATCAAAATAGAAGTGTAGAGCTCCTTTTACCTTTTTTGAAATTACTTTTTTTTTCGAAAAGNGGAGCTTACGACGTAAAGGAGTACAAGTAGCGAATCCAATAGAGAGACACCCGCCCTTCCCCTCCGGAGACACGTAAAGTACACGTAAATCACAAGCGGACCTTTTGTGTGTGACTACCTGTTTCTAAGAAGAATCTCTATTAACACAGAAAAGAAAGAAAAAAAGCTATATTCTCAATATCGCGATATAAATAGGAAAAAAAGATACGTACATATATATATATATATATATATATATATATAATATATTATATATATATTATATATAACATATAATTATATTAAAACATATCTATATAGTTATAACATATAATTATAACATATAATTATATTGAAACATATCTATACAGTTATAACATATAACTGTATCTTTCTTTTGATAGAATTTATAGTTAAAACTCACTTAAAACTCATTATCTTATAACTTTCCTATAATTAAATATTTTTCTTATCAGAATTCAGGTATATATTTTATGTATCCTCTGTAATCTCTGGGAAAAATTTGAGCCTTATATTCATGTCGTGCGTTATGTTTATAACGTATTGCAATAAAGAAACGTTGGAATATTGTAAATGTTGTTATTATTATTGCTTTCGTAGAAACGCCACGATCTCATAAAGTGATAATTTTTCCCGGGTTTTGCACGCTATGACTTCTTTAGAAAGTCATCATTGAGCATAACGATTTCAGATATTTCAATAACACTTTGGAGCACAGGTATCACTTTATCTGATCCCAACCTTCTTTTTTTTTTGTTTTCCTGCATCTAGGGCGACTTCGTCGACATGGCGAGCTTATCGAAATACGTGGTAAACAGTAACAACGTGCTGCCGACATATTGCTACGCGGAGGAAAACCTGATAGTGGACAGTTGCAACAAGTCCACGACCACGGAGGAGCTGAGCGAGACGCCCTTAGCCTCATCCGGGCCAAGCTTTACATATCGCGATAACAATCAGCATCCGTGCAGCTCTAGGCCGCCAGCTTTCCCGGCTGGCAGCGAGTACTTGGATCAGTTCAGCATACCAACGAATCACCACTGCACCAATGTATATTCGACTCTCGGGAGCGCCTCGAGCATGAAGACGTCGTTTAGTGACTTGATAGAGGAGATGATGAACAATTTGCACCTGGAGGGAAATCTGAAGCCACCTGCGACAAGCGCAATGTCGGACTTTTATGATGAAATGGGGAGACAGTTGTTGATGCAAACCGCGCAGGAGAACATGAGGTTGCAGATATACGTGATCGGGTTGATCTGCCAACTGCTCAAGAGGCCGCCGACGACCAAGAACCTATTTGCCAATTACAGCGCGACGTTATCTCAATTGAACAATGGTCTTAAGCAGTTCGGCACGGAACTAGAAAGTAAATTAGCATCTAATTCATCCCGAAATTGCGCGAACAACGTAGGTCCGTTGCCGAGGATGTTTCAGTTCAATCCAAACTGCGAGGACTTCGTGAAACAGGAAACCACAAGTTTATCGAGATCATCACCGTCGGTGAGCTCCTCAACGAATCCGTTGGGCGAGCATCACAAGCAATATTCAAATCACCATGCGTTCCCTGCTCTTGACACAAAGGACTTCCCTTACATGGCTCGTGTTCACAATTTCGAACAGATCCCGAGTCACGTTAGCGTCAGTTCGCACGAAACTGACGTGAACGGTCCGCATATTCAGCTACCTCCTGGGATCTCCTGCGGCCCGGAGCCTCCGATGTTCAATAGTCTCACCAAAGATATTCACTCGTTTGTCAACCAACCGACTGAAAATGTGGCTTCAACGACGACAGCTCCGACCAGCACCTCTAACATGAATCCGCTTAGTTACTCTCATAATGCAAACGAGTTCAGCAATGCATACTTGCAACACGGAAACACTTGGAAGAATAGAGATCCGATGCAATGGAAGGAGACAAATCCGTTCAGATATTCTGTTGCGGACGTTGAGGCGCAGATTCCGGTGACACAAAGTGAGAAGACCAACTACGACGTGGCGAATCTTTCATCGTATCAGTCCGATATCATTCTGCAGAGCCACGTTCCAGTAGCGGATACAAATACGAATGCTCACATGATGAGTTCTAATATTTCCGGGATGTACGAGAATACTGCGAGGAGCAAACCGAACATTGCACCTACGGTGTGCAACGTCAACATGAATAATGGTAGCGATTACATGCCGAAAATTGTCTACGAGGCCGGTCCGGTGATGTACAACTTGCAGAAGAAACCAGAGAAACCACAGTTGTCTTCGCAGTTGGTCAAATAATTGCAAGGCAACATTGTCAGCAACGATGTCGATCACGTTCCACCTTTAACTGCTTCAGTCGCATTAAACGACGAAGGTAACGTTACGTCGATGGCCCATACTCAAAATTTATCATCGACGTTAAACAAAGAGAACTCTCATCGATCGGACATCGATTTAAGTATATTACCTCGTCACGCCTTGCCGGAAGCTTGGAGTAGTTCAATGCTCCAAAACAACGATCCAATACAGGGTCATTGCAACAGTTCCGTTACACCTACTGTAAGCCAGCCGGCCAATTGTTGCCGAAAAAAGAGTTGTATTGCACGACTGATAAATTTGGAACCGGAGAGTTGTGCAGAATGTTCAAATCAAATCATGCCATTTTATTTTACGACAATGAGAGGCCGATAATGCCCATGAATTTGCGGAGCCCATCTCTCAACATGGACCAAAACAGGACAATGAAACCTTGCGACTACACCGTGCCATTGAATAAGTCTTTTCTGTTCCAACGAATCAGTACGTGCGGAACCGCTGAACGCAGTTATGGTTTATTAACTATACAAACAATTTATAACAACTTTGCCACAACAACTGTGTCACAACAACTTTGTAAGCTTCACTTATAGATTCTGTTAAGGGAGTAGCAATTTTATTTCACATGAATGAAGACGGTTGGATGTTGATACACGAATTTGTGGAAGCTTTCACCAAATTCAGCAGATGCTCCCATCTGGTAGCGTTATTGGACACAATGTAGCAATTTCGCTTAAAGAAATTCGCAGATCTGATTATTCGGTAAAGTTCTTACAACTGGACAGGTGAGTTTTTGAATATTTATCTATTTATTTTTTTTTATGCGAACGTTCTGAAAAATGAACATTCTATATGTGTTTCATTATCGAAGATACCAATAAAATATTGATATTGAAATATCAATTCGATTTATAGAGAATATTTGTGACTTTATTTTTTTATATAAGTAAAATAGATTAGTTTATAATTACATACATGCGCGCGCGCGCGCGCGCGCGCGCGCACACACACACACACACACACACACACACACACACACACACACACACACACACACACACACACACACACACACACACACACACACACACACACACACACACACACACACACACACACACACACACACACACACACACACACACACACACACACACACACACACACACACACACACACACACACACACACACACACACACACACACACACACACACACACACACACACACACACACACACACACACACACACACACACACACACACACACACACACACACACACACACACACACACACACACACACACACACACACACACACACACACACACACACACACACACACACACACACACACACACACACACACACACACACACACACACACACACACACACACACACACACACACACACACACACACACACACACACACACACACACACACACACACACACACACACACACACACACACACACACACACACACACACACACACACACACACACACACACACACACACACACACACACACACACACACACACACACACACACACACACACACACACACACACACACACACACACACACACACACACACACACACACACACACACACACACACACACACACACACACACACACACACACACACACACACACACACACACACACACACACACACACACACGACATAGTATGTATAATGAAATCTTTTATATTATTCTTTTGATTGACCAATTTTATTTTTTTCAACAAATATATATTTATTACTTTTTAGTTATCCTTTAAAAGTTACCAGAGATTCTGAGAATCGCATTATCTCCATTAATTTGATTTCCTTGCAAGCTGCGTTAGGATTATTTTGTAAGTTGAAAATAGTATCGTGCGAGGAGATAGAAAGTACTTCCAGGAGGACCGAAATGCCTATAGAAAATCCTGCTATGTACAATATGTGGGTAAGAATCTTTCATGTGTTTCTTTCATGTGTACATGGTCCGATAAGTACTTAGCCTACAAAAGAAAAACGAAAATTTTGGAAAAGTGGCGATTTATTTCTCAACATAGTCTCCTTTTAGCTCGATACACTTGACCCAGCGATGCTCCAACTTCTTTAACCCATCTGAAAAATACGTTTTCTCGAAGTCTGCAAAGTAGGCCTCCGTGGCGGCGATGACCTCCTCATTCGGCCAAATTGGTCGAACTGCTGCCCCATCCACCGTATTCTCCAGATTTGGCCCCGTGCGACTTTTTTTGTTTCCAAACTTGAAAAAGTCACTCGCCAGGCAGAAATTTGAGTCGAATGAGGAGGTCATCGTCGCCACGGAGGCCTTTGCAGATTTCGAGAAAACGTATTTTTCAGATGGGTTAAAGAAGTTGGAGCATTGCTGGGTCAAGTGTATTGAGCTAAAAGAAGACTATGTTGAGAAATAAATCGCCACTTTTCCAAAATTTTCATTTTTCTTTTGTAGGCTAAGTACTTATCGGACCGCCCTCGTATGATGAAAAAATTTCTTCTCCTCTTTTCTATCAACACCAATAATGCGAATTATTTGCGTTAATCATGCAGACACGTATTTGATATAAACATGAAATACTGAAGTAAAATAATGCTCTTTTAGATATTGATTTCGTGTTTCAGACATTGATTATCTCGTACAAGGACTTCAAGCATTGCATCGAACAATATAGCGCAAATTATGGTATATAAGTTTTCAAAAATTAAGTGACACATCGAAGTGCAAATAGATTTTATTAAGATCAAAACTACTTGCTAATTCATCTAATCTATAAACATTGTTTTTGCAAATATATACAATGGTGTTTGCAAAGTGATGACATATAATTATTTTTTTACATGGATTTAACGATCATAAAGTACAAACGGCAAGTGAGATAATTATTTTATATCTAAGTCACTTAAAATTTTCGATAATATCTATATGTGCTACGTATCATAACGTAATAATTTAGAACTTATATGTAATTACAAGTGACCAAGTCTTCTATATAAGAATAGCTTTATTTCCATTATTATTTCATTTCTTATTCTATTAAAATATTTGATATAGAATTCGAGTAGATTTAGCCATTGCTAACTTGGATCTGATACTATTAAGTGTATATATTTTTGTACGAACTTATTTAAGGGTAACTGTAAACTAATGTGAGATTATGCTATGTATCATAGTGACGTAATAATTTAGTATTCGTCGTATATAATTATAAATTACTAAGTTTTTAGCATGAACGAATAACGTGAATTTATTATTTAATTAGTTTTTTTAGTAATTTAATTAATAGAATTATGTTTCATTATTATCTCATTACTCATTTTATTAAAGGACTCAATGAAGAATATTGATTTAACTATTGACAAGTTTGATCTGGTACCATTAAATACATATATATAAATTTTATATGAAATGATTTACAGCCAACTAATGTAAGATTATCCTATATATCATAGTGACATAATAATTTAATACTTATCCTATATGGATGATAAAATTTATAGCGTGAAAA